TGTATACAAAGGCTGTTGATTTTTGTGCATTGATTTTATATCCTGCTACTTTGCCAAAATCTTCTATGAGTTCCAATAATCTCTTAGTAGAGTTCTTTGGGTCCCCTAAATAAAGAATCATATCATCTGCAAAGAGGGATAGTTTGAGTTCTTCCTTCCCAATTTGTATCCCTTTAATTTCTTTTCCTTGCCTAATAGCTCTGGCTAGAACCTCCAGAACTATATTGAATAGCAGTGGTGAGAGTGGGCATCCCTGTCTGGTACCAGATCTCAGTGGAAATGCTTCCAACTTTTCCCCATTCAATAGGATGTTGGCTGTGGGTTTTTCATAGATTGCTTTGATTGTATTGAGGAATGTTTCTTCCAAACCCAGTTTGCTTAGAGTTTTCATCATGAACGGGTGTTGTATTTTATCAAATGCTTTCTTGGCATCTATTGAGATAATCATATGGTTTTTCTTCTGCAGTCTGTTAATGTGGTGTATCACATTGATTGTTTTGCGCACATTAAACCATCCCTGCATACCATGGATAAATCCCACTTGGTCTGGGTGGATGATCTTTCTGATGTGTTGTTGCATTCTATTGGTGAGAATTTTATTGAGGCTTTTTGCATCTATGTTCATCAGGGATATTGGTCTGTAATTCTCTTTCAATGCTGCATCTTTTTCCAGCTTAGGAATTAAGGTGATGCTGGCTTCATAGAAAGAATTTGGGAGGACTCCCTCTTCTTTGATTGTTCTGAATAGTTTGAGAAGAATTGGAGTTAGTTCTTCTTTAAATGTCTGGTAGAATTCAGCAGTGAATCCATCTGGTCCTGGGCTTTTCTTTGTTGGGAGGGCCTTTATTACTGTTTCAATTTCTGTCTCAGTTATGGGTCTGTTTAGGTTTTCGATGTCTTCCTGGTTCAATTTAGGTAGGTTGCATGTGTCCAGGAATCTATCCATTTCTGATAGGTTTCCCTGTTTGCTGGCATACAAGTCCTTGTAGTAATTTCTGATGATTCTTTTTATTTCTGTGGTGTCTGTTGTTACGTTTCCTTTTTCATCTCTGATTTTATTGATTTGGGTCTTTTCTCTTCATTTTTTAGTTAGTTGGGCCAATGGGGTGTCAATTTTGTTTATTTTTTCAAAAAACCAGCTCCTCGTTTGGCTGATTTTTTGGAATGTTTTTCTTGATTCAATCCTGTTGATGTCTTCTCTGATTTTATTTATTTCTCTTCTCCTACTAGATTTGGGTCTGGTTTGCTGTAGGTTTTCTAGATCCTTGAGGTGAATTGAAAGCTCATCTATTTGGTGCCTTTCCAATTTCTTGATGTAGGCACCTATTGATATAAACTTTCCTCTTAACACTGCTTTTGCTGCGTCCCATAAGTTTTGGTATGTTGTGCTGTTATCCTCATTTACTTCCAGAAAGTTTTTGATTTCTCTTTTGATTTCTTCTATGACCCATTGTTCATTCAGGACATGTTGTTCAATCTCCATGTGTTTGCGTATGCTCTAGGGATTCCTGAGTTGCTAATTTCCAACTTCATTCCTTTATGGTCTGAGAAGCTGCATGGTATGATTCTAATTCTTTTGAATTTGCTGAGACTTGCTTTATGGCCTAGTATGTGGTCAATCCTAGAGAAGGTTCCATGTACTGCTGGGAAGAATGTAAAATCTTTAGCTGTAGGATTGAAAGTTCTGTATATATCTGTTAGATCCATTTGGGCTACAGTGTCGTTTAAATCTACTGTATCCTTGTTGATCTTCTGTCCTATTGATCTGTCTATTTCTGAGAGTGGAGTATTGAAGTCCCCCAGTACTATTGCATTGGAGTCTAAGTCTCCCTTTAAGTCCGTTAACAAATCTTTTAGATAAACCGGTGCCCTGTAGTTAGGTGCATATACATTGATAATTGTTATATCTTCTTGTTGTATTGATCCCTTAATCATTATGTAGTGTCCCTCTTTGTCTCTCTTAACAGTTTTTGTGGTAAAGTTTATGCTGTCCGACATTAAGATGGCTACGCCCGCTCTTTTTTTCATTTCTGTTGGCACGGTATATCTTTTTCCAGCCTTTCACTTTCAGTCTGTAGGCATCTTTGTTGGAAAGATGAGTTTCTTGTAAGCAGCAAATAGATGGGTTTTGTTCCTTAACCCAATCAGCCAATCTGTGTCTTTTAATTGGACAGTTCAGGCCATTCACGTTCAATGTGACTAATGATAAGTGGTAACTTTGCCCTGCCATTTGCCAAAGATAAGTTCTAATATATGCTTTGACCTTCCTGTGATCTTTTGCTGTGAGGTTTCCTTCCTTTGCCTTCTTTCATATTGATGACCGTGTTTCTGTGTTTCTGTGTGTAACACATCTTTAAGCATCTTTTGCAGGGCTGGACGAGTGGCCACAAAGTGTTTCAATTTCTGTTTGCTATGAAAAGTCTTTATTTCACCTTCATTCACAAATGAGAGCTTTGCAGGATATAATATTCTGGGCTGGCAGTTGTTCTCTCTTAGTACCTGGGCTATATCCCGCCATTCCCTCCTAGCCTGTAGGGTTTTTAATGAGAAGTCTACTGTGAGTCTGATTGGAGATCCTCTGAGAGTAATCTGACGTTTCTCTCTTGCACATTTTAGGATCTTTTCTTTATGTTTCACTGTGGAGAGTTTAATTACAATGTGTCGTGGTGAGGATCTCTTTTGGTCGTGTTTATTAGGGGTTCTGTGAGCTTCCTGTACTAGGATTTCTCTGTCCTTCTCCAAACCTGGGAAATTTTCTGCTAATATCTCACTAAAAAGGCCTTCTAATCCTTTCTCCCTCTCCATGCCTTCAGGAACTCCTAGAACCCGAATGTTGGGTTTTTTAATAGTATCCTGAAGATTCCTGACAATATGTTTTAGATTTCTAATTTCCTCGTCTTTTCTTTGGTTTGACTGTATCCTTTCCTGTTCTCTGTCTTCTAAGTCCGATATTCTCTCTTCTGCTTCACCCATTCTGTTTGTAAGGCTCTCTAATGTGTTTTTCATTTGATCTATTGAATTCTTCACTTCATTATGATTTCTTGTCACTATCCCAGTTTCTTGTTGTACTAGTTGTTTCATTTCATTTTGATTCCTCCTTAAGATTTCATTTTCACGAGCGAGATTTTCTACCTTGTCCATTAAGGATTTCTGTAGTTCAAGAATTTGTTTTTGAGAACTTCTTAATGTTCTTATCAATTTTATGAAATCTGCTTCTTGCATTTCTTCTATCTCATCATCTTCATAATCTTGAATTGGGGTTTCTTTTATTTGGGGGCGTCATGGTGACTTCCTTGTTTTTATTACCTCGGTTTTTGCGTTTGTTATTTGGCATATTGGAGATATTTGGTTTCTTCACTGTGGTGCTTTTTCTTGTTATACTATGACTCTAGATTAAGTGGACTGTCTGTTTTTGATGGAGCCTTAGAGGCTTGAGATGGGTGTGGCCTGAGAGCTCTGTTTGGTGTGCCAAATGTGACACTCCCAGGTTAGGCGTGGTAGATCTCTCTCTTCTTTCTTTCTTTTTTTGATTCAAAAGGGAAATAATTCCGCACAGCTGAATGAAGTTGGAGGTAGTTAGCAGGCAAATGATATACCCACAGGAGCCAGAGATTGGAAGCTCTTTCCCAAGGACCACACAGGGAATCTGTTCTGCCCTCAGAGTGGGCTCAAATTCTCCTTCAGTATCCCACTGGGTTGCCAAAGTTACAGAATTGTAGCGTCTCTGGAGAGTACTCACATGAATTCCGTGAGTTCTCTCCCCCACCGTCTCTTTTTTCACAGTCTCAGTTCAGTAGCACCACAAATTCACTAGGTCCTAATCTCCTGTTAATTCGCCCCGCCCAGAGTCAGGTTTTTCTGCTAGGCTCAGGGCCAGTGCAGACCTGAGGTCGCTCTGTTTATGATGTATGTCCAAAATGGCGCCTGCTCTTTGTCTTGCTCGCCTTTGAGAGGTGAGCGGAGAGAGAGAAACCCTTGTCCATATCAGTCACTTTTTTTTTCTCTCTCTCTCTTCTAGTTAGCCTGGTGAATTTTTCTCCCCGGGGTCGTTCCCTCTAGTCTCCTCTTTCCGCTTGCCTGCTGGTGTCTCGGGCTATTGAGGTTTGGCTCACCTCGCGTTCCAGCACTGGTGTGTTGAATCTGCTGCTGGTTTCCCGAACTGTGGGCTCCCACGCTCTCCACGCAGGTCCACTGTGAATCACTTGTTCCGGAAGAGTTTCTTCTGCTGTTTCTTCCCCTACTCTTCCTTGAACCTGCAGTATCTCCACTTTTATTAAACTGTCTCTCCCCGGACTATCAGTGTGCTCCCTTCCTATTCCACCATCTTGTCGCTCTCCTCCACAGTCTTTTCATTTTAGGAGAAACAAATAAAGCAGAACAAAAGCAAAAAACAAAAACAAAAACAAAAAACAAAAGTAAGATACACATACTCTTTTGTTACTTGATTGTTATCATGCTTGGTATGGTTGCCACAATTTAAAGACTAGGACTTAATCCTATGTGGGAAGTAGTGTTTCTTCATGTGGTAGAGACTCCTTAGTCTCCATCTCAGGCAGTGACTGACAGACTGGGTATGAAGGTTTCTCTCTAGGTGGCTGGGAGTGTTGCTTCAGCATGTCAGAGATTGCTATTCCTTTACTTCCAGAACAAGATGAAATTAAGAGGCTAGCTGATTGGAAAGCGTGTTTTCCATGTCATGATGATCTAAGAGAAATGCTGGAACAGCTGTTGTTTTCAAAAACATATCTAGTTAATGGAGTAGCAAGCAGAATTTTGTTGTTTTTTTCTTTCCTTATAAACTAGGTGAAATGGATCAATTATAGCAAGGATTCAAAACTCTTTCTGTAGCTGAAGAGAAGTAGCTCCAAAAGCCATAAAAATGAAAAGGTACATTCATATAAATTTCTTTTTTTTTCAAGCTTTTGACTTTTCCTTTTTTTCTTTTTTTTAAGAGTAGCTCCATGATTTGGGGGCTGATTAGTACAACACAGAGAACAAAGAGGAAACATACAAAATGGCACTTACCACCAATGCCAGTACTCATCTCATTATGGTTATAACCAAGAATATTATTAATTTTTGTGTTATTTGCTTTTCTTTAGCACATAAACCAAAGCCATTAACTTGACTTGAGCTATATATACAATACATACACAAAATACTTTTCATAAGTAATGTTACATTTTAAAATATTGGAAACCTAGTATCTGGGACTTGTAGTTTGACTAAATGGAAAAAGAAAATAACAACATTCAACAAGGGAGGTTATACTGATACTAAAGCTCTTAGAAGTTCAAAATGCATTCCTCTCCCTTTGTACTTACCACAGGCTACACAATGTCCTGAGAGCATTCATTATGAGAAAAATGTCAATCACAGCTTTCATAACTTACTTTGGAAGGAATAATGAGAAAGTAAATTGGAAGGTGAGACTTCATCTTTGTTTTCAAACAAGTGGTCTGAATTTTTCCTCTTATAGAAAATGTTTAAATCAGTTTATTATAAATATATCTAAACCATTAAATTTTGCAGCTTTCAGGTAAAGTCCAGCCACTGTTTACACAAAGTCTGTAAGATGAGGTCAGTATAGATCATCTAATCTTAAGTCGGGACATCATCCATTCAAGTCCTTGACATAATCCCTCTCCAGTAAGAGCACAGCAGGCTTGGATATGCCACTGGTGATCTTTGATAGAAGTCAGCTTCAAAACCTGAGAGATTTCTGCTACAGTCATGCATTCTTCAACATCTTGTTTATTAGCAAAGATCAGCAATCCAGCTTTCCTTAAGTCCTCTGTGTTAGTATAGTAAGTGTTCCAGGAAGAACGAAGAGATTCTTGGCCACCAGTATCCCACATTAGGAAACGTGTATTATTAATCACTATCTCTTCTACATTACTTCCTATTGTAGGGGATGTGTGTACAACTTCATTCATAGAAAATTGGAAAAGGATGGTAGTTTTCCCAGCATTATCCAGCCCAACAATTATAACTTTGTGCTCCTGGTGATTGAACAGTCTCCATATCCTGGTGAAGAGAATTCCCATTCTCGGGCAGCGGACCCCCTCCAGCCGCCCGGCCGCCTGGCCTCCCCGGGCTCAGGCAGAGGGGCAGAGAGATGCTCTGGAGCCTCCGCCTCTGCTTCTGCTGCTTCTACTGCTTCTGCTGCTCCCACGCTGGCCGCCGGCCC